TAAACCTTTGTTAAAATTCATCAGATGCGCAGCGGCAAAAGCAAAGCAAGTGTCTTGAGTTATTTATAACCATCATGTCATAAATATATTCTCCCGCAAAGTTTTTTTTTCTCGATGTGTTCATTAAAAAGGAATATTGTGTGTTGGGAATAAATCTAGTAATATGCAGGTCCATAAATAAATTTGGTTGTGTCATTTTGTCGAAACAGTGTACTAGTTTTTCTCAAATTAAACAGGGAAACATGTACTCATATAAAATGTAAACTTAACTTATTCTTAAATAGCAGTTAGCCGTTAAGGACAATGTCGGTATCAAATCGAATAAACAACACAATCAAATCTATTGTTCCGAGTCGAATCGTTGATCGAATTTATATTATTTTGAAAAATATATTGTCTATTTTACGTAAACAAAGAAGACAGAAAGCGCAAATATAATGTAGAGAAATATCCAGGTTGTGTGCAAACAGATTGAATGCTAGAAAGCAATCGCATTCACAACATTAGGAAATGATCGTACTGATATGATTCCGATCCTTTTATTTAAGAAGCACTTTTTAATGCATACACCAGATGACCTATTTGTATATATTTATTTTGCTATGTTCAATTTCATTCTTTCGTTCCTTTCTTATGTCATCATTAATTTATATATATCTGAATGAGTTCATTTTTATCGGGTAGATGATACGCAATAGTTTTTAGAACTGCAATGATACATGCACCCCACCCCACATTCTCAAAATTTTTCAATTTCTGTTGATAGGCAAATAATAATAATAATAATAATAATAATAATAATAATAATAATAATAATAATAATAATAATAATAATAATAATAATAATAATAATAACAAAATAATATTATTAACCATTTTAAGAGAGAGAGAGAGAGAGAGAGAGAGAGAGAGAGAGAGAGAGAGAGAGAGAGAGAGAGTACTTTGCATCTGAAATTTTCTATTTAAATTATTTTTAAACTATCCAGACAGAGTATAAAGGGTTCATGGAATGATGTCCATATTGGAGGAGTGGATAGAATGTTAAGGAAAAAAAAAATGGAAATTATCATTACTCCTGTTGAATTGGATACTTATATAATTAAGTAACTAGGTGGTCACTCAGATCAAACCGGACGGTGCGTACTATGAACCAGATACTTTTAACTGCCACCACATACCTATATACAGATTCTTAAGCGACAATAACTACGTCTGCATCATTTAATTTTCAAGTGAGTTTGCTAAGAGTTGCAAAGTTTCGACGCAAAGACATGAAACAAACAGCTGTAAGAAATCAAAGAACAGCTCTCCCAGCTGCAACATTGAAAACTCACAGAATAGATATTCCAAAATTTAGATCATATAAAATACCAAACTTGCCCAGAAAACCATTTAAAATTCAAAGTCTCTACATGTGGTTTCTTGAATGTTTCGGTTGCCATTATATAAGGAGGAAACGCAAGTGGTGGGAACTTTAAATTTATGTATTTATTTTATCTGGAATTCAAATTCGCTGTCTACATCTGAGGGGAAAATTTTTTTATATAGTTGCAACATTAAGGTTGGCGTATCATAGATAACATAAGGTCTAATGAAATTGACAACGAACCGAAAATCTGTTTGATCAGGCATGTAGTTAATCTTCATCTTTACCCACAATGCAATACCCCCCCCCGTTTTAGGGAAAGGAACTTATACTGAATTAAATAAAAGGTATCAAAAGTCTACATGAGTTATTGAAAACCATATTTTATAGCAAATGTGCCATTACACTACGCATCTCCACAAAAGCACAACCTCATTACAATTTCCCATGATCCTTTGGAACGCAGTCTATAATATTTCTCTAGATACATGGAATCTAATTAATGACTTGTATCTATTCTCCTTTTACCTTTCAACAGAGAAATAATTGTTTAAAGAATAATGGGATATTTTGAAAATAATGTTTAATCAATTACCTTCAATGAGTATCTTTTCTGTTGAAAATAGGCATTGTTCTTTGAAATACTGCAAAACAACAGACAATATTTTGTTAAAGGAGATAAAAACTCTTATAGGTGTAATTTTTTTTCCTAGCATTAGAACTAGAGTTAGTTCTCATGAGATAGCTTCGCCATACAAATGTCCTCAAGGAGATGTCTTACATAGTAAAGTAATAAATTAGTTGACGAGTTAGAAATTTAAATTGCTAGATTAAACCCTGTGGAGGCCCCTAGGCAGTTGAAATATTGAGCTCTCCCCCCCCCCCGCCGCAAATTATCTCCTAATACTTTCAAGATGAAAATAATTAAATGTAATATCGATCTGTTGTCGCGGGGCCCCTAAAGGGCGTGGGGCCCATAGGCCGCTGCCTATTCTGCCTATTGGATAATCTAGTACTGACTTTATATAAAAAAAAATAAACTAAATATGAGGTATTTCCCACTGGTCTGTGTAAATAATAATTGCTGTCTATTCATACGTAGACATGACGTGAGTTGTGAGTTCTATTTTGATTATGCAAAAATGAATTTTCATAATGGTAGCACATTTTCTGGTAGAAATGTTATAGGTGATACTATACAAGTGTATTGTGCTAATTGTGGTGTGATTTGTACAAAGAAGTGTTATATATACATCTTTTTTATCACCCATTATTCCCCCGCTCTGTCTTTTTCTCACTGTCAAATTATATATAACATCTACATGGTGAAAACCTCATTAGAAATATAAGCAAGCAAGCCAATGTAAATATGTATTAAACAGTGGATAGTAATTAAAATACTAGCAAACGGAGGTATTATTTTTATAAGTATATCTGGTATGATTCGGCCGGGATTCGAACCAGCGGCCTCCCGCATATGAGACAGACGCTCCAACCTCTAGGTCACCGGATACTATGATACTATTATGTTCTCTCTCTCTCTCTCTCTCTCTCTCTCTCTCTCTCTCTCTCTCTCTCTCTCTCTCTCTCTCTCTCTCTCTCTCTCTCTCTCTCTCTCTCTCTCTCTCTCTCTTATGTATGTATGTATGTATGTATGTATGTATGTATGTATGTATGTATGTATGTATGTATGTATGTATGTATGTATGTATGTATGTATGTATGTATGTATGTATGTATGTATGTATGTATGTATGTATGTATGTATGTATGTATATATATATATATATATATATATATATATATATATATATATATATATATATATATATATAGATATATATATATATATATATATATACATATCTGACATGAATTATATACGCCTCGCATTCCTTATACCCGATTACAGGAACTGGCGAGATCCTATCAAAAGACACTTATGAATTCCAAGATCTATGTAAAGCTCGAAATCGACTCTCTCAGTTACGTGCAGTCTAATAATAAATCAAAAATAGACATTTCAGCTTTGTTGCATGAAACTATCTGGCAAGCGAACGGAGAGAGAGAGAGAGAGAGAGAGAGAGAGAGAGAGAGAGAGAGAGAGAGAGAGAGAGAGAGAGAGAGAGAGAGAGAGAGAGAGAGAGAGAGAGATTTTCTCTTTCCTGTTTATTTATTCAGACACCGTGAACAGTATGGGAGATAATCGATAACTGATGCGTAGTACTTAATAACCAATGTTTATATAATTAAGTTTATATGACATTGTTCCCAATATCTTAGTGATAGAAGTATACAGTATATTACCTTGCTGGTATATCACATGTGCGTTCCGTCGTTGAGATAAGAGGAACTAATATCCTTGAACCAACACATTATTTCTTAGCACTTTACATGAACCAACATGAAACAACACATTATTTCTTAGCACTTTACATCCAGTGCGCATGGCATAATAGAAGTGTTCGGAGCTATTTATAACCATCACGTCATATATAAATTTTCGTTACCTTTGTATTACATATTCTTATTGTGTGCTAGAACTATACAGGTATACATAGATAATTGACTGCGTTCTTTTCAAAAGTAGTACATGTTTTTCTTACATACAATGGACAACTATGAGGTCATGCAAAATGTAAAATGAACTTGATTTCAATAACAGTTTTTACTAAGGATAATGTGGTTACGTAAATGGATTGCTAATCGATATAGTCTGGAGTCTGTAACAAATGGAATAATCAAAGTCAACAATGTGTTGCTGATCAAATGTATTTAATTGTGAAAAATGTACGATCTATTTTCCTTACGGAGATATAGTTTTCATCTATTTAAATAAATTAAAATTTTAAATAGAAAGCGAAAATATAATGGAGAGCAATATCCAGGTTTGTACCAACGAAATGCAGCTCGAATAGAAATTCTTTTGATAGCGCGTAGGAACCGATCCGACGGATATGCATTCCGATCTATTTATCTGTCCTTTTCTATTTTCATTTTCATTCCTTCTTTCCTTATTTCCATCATTTATAATTTTGTGCGATGATTTTCGCTCTTCTCGTCTCGATACTTGAAATAGCTCAATTTCATAATTGAACGTGGTTTTTCAGGTAAATTTACATAATATATCGAAGAGATTATTGACAAATGTGATGTTACATTTATAACAGCCCACCAACCTACCATAGCCAACCAAAGGAACAACGATTTGTGTGGTCAGTATATAAAAGACAGTCCTAACTATATTGAACGTGGCAGTTTAAAATTAATAAGTGTGTGTGTGTGTGTGTGTGTGTGTGTGTTGAATTTTGACTTAGCTTTAGCAATATTTCAGTCATTTCGCTACGATATTGCAGTGTGGCAGTTTATATTGATGCCTAACTCTAGGACATCATGCCGCAGTCATGTAACATGATGTCTCATCCCTTCACGTTATCCTGACACCAGGCAGACCAGACCTGATACTAACCTCCTAATGCTGAACGCCTAGCGAGGCAGCTGTTAGTATCATTTTTGTTGCTTTTTGGTATGATTCGGCCGGGGTTTTGAACCCACAATCCCCAGTATCCGGGTCGGACACTGTAACTACTAAACCAACGGAACGTTGAAACCAAGAGTAAATCTAACCCCTCCGGTGGCCTAGTGGTTAGAGCGTCCGCCTCGGATGCGGAAGGTCATATGTTCGATCACCGGTCGAGTCATACCAAAGACTTACAAAAATGGTACTAACAGCTGCCTCGCTTGACGCTCAGCATTAAGAGGTTAGAGTTAGGATTGGTCGGCCTGGTGTCAGGATAATGTGACTGGGTGGGACATTATGCTACATGTCTGTTGTTGTTGTTGTTGTTGTTGTTGTTGTTGTTGGGCTTAACGCCATTTTTCAGCATACGATAGGCCATTCATGGCGGCCAGTATTAATGGTGGAAGAAGAAACCGGAAAATCACCGGAAAGAACCACCCACCCACTAGAAGCTACTGGCATGCTTTCTCACATATCCACATTCACCGAATCCTAGATTCGAACCCACGCAGACAGAGGTGAGATGGCAATCTACATGTCTGCGGAATAATGCCCCCGTGCTAGACATCACTATAAACTGCCACACTACAGAAGTCGTAGCGATATGACTGAAAAATTGTTAATAGCTATGTTAAAAATTATAAACACCAACTCCAAAAGTAAACCGAATTTCAGCATGCGATTACACAGCAAATTAAATTTATGAAGGTTTGTATTCATTTTTCTGTTACCCATGAAGGACTATAACTTTCCTCTGCAGTACGTTTATACGGAGGTTCGAAACCAGGTCCGTGAGAAAACGGCACACATCGCCTTGCCTGCACACGCCATACCATATTCCATCACGGCTACGCACGTATCACCCAACAAGTGATGACACCGAGTAGGTTTAATATGATCTCATGCGTAGCAGACACACTCGCATGACGACCTAGCAAATAATTCTCATGTATATACACAGTCGTTCCAGATTCCTATGAAAGAAATCAAGATAAATAGGATTTTTTTTATTACAAAGTGTTATAAATATATACAAAACAGAACAGAAAGTTACAAATAAGGCGATGGGTGCCGTTTACTCGCGGACTTGGGTTCGAAACTCCGTAGAGTACGAATTAAAATTCTCTTTCAGGTATGATAGTATTTTTTGTTTTAAATTTTATATATATATATATATATATATATATATATATATATATATATATATATATATATATATATATATATATATATATATATATATATATATATATATATTATAGAGAAAGAGAGAGACTGTTTACATGTGGTCATTGAATATATATATATATATATATATATATATATATATATATATATATATATATATATATATATATATATATATATATATATATATATATATATATATATATATATATATATATATATATATAACACTGAGTGTCCTATATAGTGTCTCTGACTTGAGTCCTCTATATGCGTAAAGAGCCTTACGTCGTTTTATTATGATAGCCTGTTGAAATATTTATATATGCTTCAAATGCATTGATGTTCGTGTTTTTATCAGCGAATACACTAATGTTGATGTATACATAGTTGTACATCTAACCTTTGTGCAGGCTTAGTTCCCAGTTGATTTATCTGTTTAGAAGCAAACATGTATAGGCCCGAAATCTTCTGCATAATATATTTTATTGGTAGTAATGCCTTACTGAGCAATAGTGACAAACAAAATCAATTGCAAATCAGAGATTTTCCATTTTTTCAGTTTCACTTTCACTTTTGTCTCGTAGAGGGGCCCCGAGTGGCCTAGTGGTCTAAAGCGCTGACCGTTACGGATCACTGCCATCTCCCCTCTGTCTGCGTTAGTTCGAGTCCAGACTCGGCTAACCTGGATAAGTGAGAAAACCTGCCAGTAGCTTCTCGTGGGTCGGTGGTTCTTCCCGGGGTTTTTCTGGGTTCTTCCTCCACCATTAATACTGGCCGCCATGTATAGCCTATCTTGTGCTGAAAAATGGCTTTAAACCCTACAACAACAACAACAACAACAACAACAACTTTTGTCTCGTAGCCGTGTTTAAGTGCCCTTATCTTAGTCATTTAGAGAGGTTATGTCTTGACAATCGCTGCCTATAATGAGCGAATTCCTTTTGTAACAAAAGCTATATATCATGGCCGAGTTCATTTCCTCACCATCGCCAGCTGTGAATCTTTTAAATTATGTAGATTAATAAACTGATCGATGCCTCTATCTAGTAATTGTAGAAATTTGACAACATTGATCTACCAACTTTTATAAGAAGTATTACGAAAGATATTCAGTACAAGCAAGATCACTTTATTCCAATAATCCTGATACGTTATAAACGTCAGTTGTGTTAATGTGCTATTAAGCATATGTCACTCTGTCGATAAAGAAGCCCGTTTGTATAATTCGACTTTATGCCTCGTCTACTCTGTTACCACACACACACACACATACACACACACACACACATATATATATATATATATATATATATATATATATATATATATATATATATATATATATATATATATATATATATAGATAGATAGATAGATAGATAGATAGAGAGAGAGAGAGAGAGAGAGAGAGAGAGAGAGAGAGAGAGAGAGAGAGAGAGAGAGAGAGAGAGAGAGAGAGAGAGAGAGTACGTATGCCTTGCATGCTTGCTATATTTCCTACATACTGAGTGTAACTGGGATTCGTGTATGCAAGGAATGTTTTTATGTTGTTGTTGTTGTTGTTGTTGTTGTGGGGCTTAACGCCATTTTTCAGCACACGATAGGCTATACATGGTGGCCAGTATTAATGGTGGAAGAAGAAACCGGGAAATCCGCGGAAAGAACCACCGACCCACGAGAAGCTACTGGCAAATGTTTTTATGGTGTTGTTATGTATGTTTTGGACTCAGTCTGCACTATACTATGCGCCAGCATGCAAAAAGGAAAAGTGAAAAGAGACAAAGTAGAATAGAGAGTTGTTGTTGTTGTTGTTGTTGTTTTTCAGCACACGATAGCCTATACATGGCTGCCAGTATTAAGGTTGGATGAAAAAAACCGGGAAATATACCCGGTAGAATAGAGAAAAACATCTTTGACAGTCGTAAACATTTGTATTAATGCATTAATTAACTTACACATAAATATTAACCAGGATAATCATATCTCGGTATCGGGTGATACTAATCATTGGGATCATCATTGGTGATAATAATCATTGGGATCATCATTGGTGATACTAATCATTGGGATCATCATTGGTGATACTAATCATTGGGATCATCATTGGTGATAATCATTGGGATCAACATTGGTGGTAATAATCATTGGGATCATCATTGGTGGTAATAATCATTGGGATCATCATTGGTGGTAATAATCATTGGGATCATCATTGGTGGTAATAATCATTGGGATCATCATTGGTGATAATCATTGGGATCATCATTGGTGATAATCATTGGGATCATCATTGGTGATAATCATTGGGATCATCATTTGTGATAATCATTGGGATCATCATTGGTGATAATCATTGGGATCATCATTGGTGATAGTCATTGGGATCATCATTTGTGATAATCATTGGGATCATCATTGGTGATAATCATTGGGATCATCATTGGTGATAGTCATTGGGATCATCATTGGTGATAGTCATTGGGATCATCATTGGTGATAATAGTCATTGGGATCATCATTGGTGATAATCATTGGGATCATCATTGGTGATAATCATTGGGATCATCATTGGTGATAATCATTGGGATCATCATTGGTGATAATCATTGGGATCATCATTGGTGATAATCATTGGATAAATATATACCATGCTAATCAACAATATTTTATGAATAATATGATGCTCTAGTCACATTTATTAGTACAGTTGCAAATATTAATTAACTGCAGTATTATATATATATATATATATATATATATATATATATATATATATATATATATATATATATATATATATATATATATATATATCAGAATATATTATTCGTGGCGTAGAATGCAAAATAGCACCAGAGTGAGTTTAACCGTTTAATGTCAGGGAACAAATTATTGGTATTACGGTATTTGTTACACCATTAAAATGACAGGGAATGTAATATTGGTATTACAGTATTTGTTACACCATTAAAATGGCAGGGTTATTCTTATCACGGTATTTGTTAAAACATTAAATTGACAGTGGTATTCTTATCACAATATTTTTTATAACATAGACATGACCGGGAATGTGCTAATGATATCACGATATTTACTATAAGACAGAGATTCGTATCTTATTACTGTAGTATGTATTAAATCTTACCGAGATATCTAATATGGTGTGAAGTATGACTTGAAATGTTAGTTAATAAGGCCTCATCACTTAGCATTCATTAAAACATATTATTCTTGACAGGTATATGAACGGCTGCCATAATGTCAATATGGCTTGATAATACACTGATATAATTGGCTGCAGTTTATGTTGCATAGCTATCTCAAAGTAAAAGTAAATGTAACGTATGTGATTCTTACCCTCGAGTTCTGTGTCCATGTATATATATAACGTCGCGCTTTTCTCTTACACCGTTTGTCCTAGAGACATGAAACTCTGAGAAATGGTTGGTTGGTGCGTCGTAGGTTAGTTTTGGATTGACTGTGGCTTACTTTAAGTACAACACACCTTTGAAGGTTATATCGTACTAATGCATGTATAGTAAATTGCTTGCCCATCAGAACAATAAGGTAACCGATCAAAGTTTGATTGCAACGTCAAATCAAAAATTGAATGGCAGTTGTAGCACCGCGAAATTACACAATTATGAATTACGAGATTGCCTGGATAAATTTGTTGCTATATAAAGAAAAGTCCACTTTAAAACGACATTAAAAAGTATTAATTAAATACGAACTTAAGGAATATGACATAAGGGTATGTTTTTATTTACTACAAGACATAATCAGATTTGACTGTAGCAAAATTTGACACGAATGATGCCTTCATTCTTAACAAGTTTTCATCTACTATTGTACCCATTTTCACAAGAAGTGAAACGTCTCAAAGTCTTGAAAAGGAAACACTACAGAATGTAATCCAACATAAAAAAATATACACATTTGGGGTATTTTCGTAAATAATTAAAAAGATGCCTGTATAAGCTTTAAATATATGC